TTGACTTTTTCATRCSCACAACATTAATCRAAATCCTCCACCAAYTCGCTGAACRTGAAAAAGTAATTATCGATTTGGCRTCCGCGCACAATTTAAWTGGATAGGCARGGTCAARTTCGATCAGATGGTATTTAATTGTCTTCGGCGATTTCGGAATTTTTCACTTACGGAAAAAAAGGAAAAAGTAATAAATTGTTTAAATTAGRAACACGATCGTCACTGAAACTGATATACAAGTTTTTTCAATTTCAGATAGAAATTTGTTGAAAGCATTTAAATTTTCAAATTAAAATGAACCGAATGAACCTGTGTTCTACTCAAGCAATCTTGCAGTCGTTCACGAGCGGGTCGYCAACCAGTAGTTCAAAAGATCTCCGTTCATTCTACTCTAAATCGAAAGGATATTGTAGCCGCACAGGAACGGGTCGCCACCCAGGGCCTGCYAAGASCRCGCAAGATACRTTGGCCAAATATTAGAACAGAARRTACCARTGGASATCCAACATGATMCCATACSGAAGTGAGCAGGTCAMGGGTGCAGCTTCTGACTAACTCAACGACTTTGCAGTTGCCAGCGATTCCGCTATGACTAGGAAGCCAAAAGAATTAGYTTGATGCTACTTCCAGAGAGGGCAGACAYAAGCTTTGAACGTACAGCTAAGATTGACAAATAGATCCTCCAGAACACTCAGCCTCCTCGAATAGGTAGTGCTACTCGGGATGGAGAATTCTACTATTTCCATAGCGTTCAGTGCAGTGGCATCATATTCATTTTACCCAAATGTTTGTAATATTATCAAAAGAAAAAGCTTTTAAGCTACACAATACGAAATAAAAAGCTTCAAAGCCAGTGTTTCAATCACCTGCTCAAACTCGCCACTTGCCGTGCATTTAAACGGTGGACCTCTACAACTTTAGCTCTTCAGATCTGAATACCCGGTACCGCTATCTTATTTGAGTATCAAATAAACTTAATACAAATAATCATTTCCTCATACTGATTAACTGCAGAAGTCAAAGATTTGTTGAAGTATTAAATGCACAATTGAAACATATGTGCAACCGTGATATGATCTCTATTACTACCTCAAACCACACGGAGCAAACAGTCAAAACTCGAGGATTTAGTTACAGTTTTTTTTTTTTTTTTTTTGTTACCTTTCAATCGTGCTTGGCAACGCGATCACGCGAAGTTACGCTCTGCGCCGAAATTCTTTGCAACTGCTCGCTGTCACTTTTAAGCCTGCCACTTCCGTCTCGGCCGCGAGTTGACAGTATTGAATGCCACTTCTGCAAGAAGCTGCGGTCCATCTATCACATACAACAGCAGCAGCAATAACAAGAGCAAATAATTTTTAATAAAAGCCACCTTATTGCATTAATTGAATGTGCAGCGAAGCACTTGACTCCACCAAGTGGCAGTTGCATTAGGCTAAACGCAATACAGCATTTGTGTTGCTTCGCGCAGAACACTTGAGACGCTTGCAAATCACAACAACCATTTGCAATGTGATTTGCCGGCAAAGTGATCGAGTTACGCCGAGGCACCGCCGCCGGCAGTCACCGCCTGCACGCATACACACACATAMAAGTTGCCTTTGCGTAACTCCATCTTTGCCGCATTTTGTTGCAACCGAAAGCGATATCCGCTGCACGGCGCAGGTGATGAAATTTTGCCATAACACATGACAYATAATTAATGTGTGTGTTTGTTTAAATAAGTAAGTGATTTGTTTGTTGATAGYTGAACGGAAGCAGCAAATCGCCAATATTTGCATGAGAAAATATATTGACAATGGTAATTGGAATTTGAAAAACTGAAGTCTGTGAAGCACCAATTAAGAATATTTGTACAATTCAATGGTTTTTTTTTACCAAAAATATTCACACGGTCGGTTTCGCCTGCGGCATTTTCCTGTGGCACGTACTTATATTAACAACTAAAAGCATTTGAATACTCTAAATAAAAAGTGGTTCAACTAATTTATTGTATAGTAGTAGTGACATATGTATATATGTAGTAAAGCCTAATTCAATACATTAAACAATTATAACTTCATTTTAGCAAAACATTCTTCTTGTTCCAAGAGGAGAGTTAGATTTTTGAGATATCGATCACGCAACCCGCATGAATACCAACATTATAATGAGTTAGTTTAAAACAGAAGGCTACAGACGAAGGTACCCAATGCTACTCTATCTCGAATGGAGTACTCCAAGGCACTAGTGTTAGGCCCACCTAATGTATGACGGGGTATTAAGAAGATAGCAATCAACACACGTGAAACTAATAGCGTATGCGGGCAACCTCATGGTGGTAACAGTGGCCAAACAATTAGTCGACCTAAGAAATAAATGCAATCAGTGCTTAAATGGTCTACATCAATGGTTCTCTTTTGTGAGCCTAGAACTGGCGGAGCAAAAACTGAACGAATAGCCTGTATGCCGCTCATTGACATCCAGGGCGATGAACTCGAGCGGTTAATCGATAATGTAACGACAATCATGTGTCGGTCGATTGATAAATGGAAAGCTGTTAGCGAAGCGTCAGCATTCTTAATGACAAAATTGAGAATTTCAATGGATTAGGTGTCCGTCACTACGCAAAATAAACGTTACTTAAATGTACTGTCCTTCCCAGGAAGTAATACTTAGCCGTTAGTTCGGTGGGAGAATCTTGAGTTAGGAGTAGTTTAGGTTTAGCGGATTAAAGTTCCGCACCACGGCTTTCGCTGCTTCCGTCTAAAAATATTGTACAATTACTACATAGTACTGTGCATAACATTTCTTCGATATCTTTATATTGAAAATGGACGAAATCGAAGTACTGCCACGCCTACTTCCCACATAACACAATGTTAAATTCTTTCAGATCCTTCGCTTTACAGAACATATATCAAACATGAAGACAGCGAAATAAATCTTTACACAAATATTGCTTTTAAATCTTGCCATATTCACAAGTTGTGAAAATCGGGCCATAATAGCTGTCTCTTATACACATCTAGATGTGTATAAGAGACAGCATGAAGACAGCGAAATAAATCTTTACACAAATATTGCTTTTAAATCTTGCCATATTCACAAGTTGTGAAAATCGGGCCATAATATTACTTGAAGTCAACGGGTACCCAATACTTGGGCCCTAGTGCCTACGGCATAATTTTTACTGAAAGTATCGGACAATCTGTGAGATATATTAATTAAAGACTTCTTTGCTGATAACATTAACTCCTGACGTCGACTACCAAGGATAAAACCCGGTTTTGATCATAAACATTTTGAGACTATAAAATGTTCGGTTACACCGATTCAATTGTTCATTCCTTCCTTACTTGTTCATATTTCTCATTTTCATAATCACTTGCCTCAAGCACCCAATTTTCGGGCCTGCCCAGAATTTCAAGATATGGATCAACAGTTGAATCAGGGCTTCCTAGAGAAGATTCACCCTTTGAACTTCTATCTATCTATTCTATCCGTAAAAAAGCTCACTACGGCTATTTTCCAGAGACTCCGCCTCACCCACATATCTCTCAGCGGTAGGTGCGCGGTGAAGACTGTCTCTTATACACATCTAGATGTGTATAAGAGACAGCACACGCAGGCACTTCTACTTCAAATGGCAGCTGAAACAAAGGAAAAGCAGTAAAATGTAYTTTACTGCAAATTTTCACCTACAATTCCACTTTCTGGTGTTATTAACCTCAAGCAGCCCAACAGTGGGCGCACATGTAATTCGACTCGGAGAATGTCTTTTGACAACAACAGCAACTACGCTCATTGTTTTTGTAGGTGGAATTGGTCTGTGAGCGACGGGGCCAGCTGCTGGATATTGCGCYGGATCAGCCAGCGCGCTAACTGTGCCACATGMGAGCGCTGCGGGGCTGCTGGCCAATGCAGACCAGCGCCTTGCGCTTACGTCATAACACCGCAGTGACGTTGACAAACAGAKAGACGGAGCTGCGGTGGTGTATGCAAGCGGAGCGGTGCAAATGCTTTCTGGAGCGTTTTGCCTGGCAYGGTRCTGCACTGATTATGCCGTSCATGGCATCCTGCAAGGCTGCGCCACTCCACACCAGCAGCGCGGCACTGTGGGCGCTGATCAGCGGCGCGTGCGCACTATCGATTGTGCGCCAATTGAGTTGCATTCGACTTTTTCATTTGCAGTGCGCCATTGGTTTTTTCTCTCTTGGCTAAACATTTTCATTTTAGACACTAGACTGGGCGCCTCGCTACTTGGCGGTTTGTGTGTTAGCAGTTAAATGTTACTTATATAATAAAAATCTAGTAATGTTKTCGCGTATTTAATGCGCTTGTGTGTGTGTTTGATTTGTGGCTTTTTTCTCGTGTTTTCAGCTAGTTTGGCAACAAAATATAAATTAAACTGGTTCTACGGGTGTGTGCTGGTCAGCTAGCCGTCCAAAGCCTGGCGATATRTGCGTGTGTGTGTTTGTGTGTGGCGCAATTGAAAGCAGGAAATGCCGCAGCATCTGTGCACTCGCTTGCCTTTTGTCTAACGTTGAAAACAAAAACAAATATGAATTAATGGAAAATTAAAATTAGAGYGCATGCAATAAGTGCGTCGCATTTGGTGGCCCCACGGAGAATTCATGCCAGCCATTCGAAAATGTTTCAGGTTTCTACTGTGAAATTAAATGCTGACGTCTGCCTTCATTAAAGTCTTTCGAGCTTAATTTTTTATAATTTTTAATCATAAACTTTAAACTAACATTTTTTACCATTCAAACCGGTATTTTGAATTAAAAAAAGAATTTTTAAAAATTAAAAAACAACTTTGTGAAAACAATTTTTAATAAAAATTTTTTATATTATATATTTTTAAAACTAAAAAAAAAAATTTAAATATGAAAAAAAAATTAGTAATTAAAAATTATTTTCAATTAAAATATTTTGTCAATTTTATTTAAAATTTAATTCAATTATTTCTTAACACTCTATTTGCAACTCTGCCTCCAGGCTCTCCTCTTCAAACTCACCTTGATCTGCACAACTTCACGCATTTCCGTTTTGTAGTTGGAGCAACGTGGTGGAATCTCCATGCACCACTGGGAGCTGCGTATGCGCACTGGCTGCATAGTGGGCACCTTCAGTTGCTCCACATAGG